ATAGAGGATGAAAACCCGAGTCCAACGGTACCTAAATGAAGTCTGTATGTCAATTCTAAGTGGAGATATTCACATTTCAGTGACGGAAAGTTGCCCAAAATATTTATAATGGAAAACACAGAAACAAGATGGCGGCGTGTTCCCAAGTGAAAACTGGACCTCAATTTATCATGTTTAATGTCAATAACTCTCAAGTTTTTGGCTGAACCCCTTAGCAACCATATGTCATTGCTTTCAGGACAGCAAGCTCTAACTAAAGTTGTTGCCTTTTAAAAAATATGATGTGATGCAAACCTAAATAACATAAAAATGAGTCAGTTTATCAGTATTCATTAAATACCTTATGAATTTATTATTATTATCCAGTGAGTCTTGCAAGACGTATACTGTAATATATATATATATATACTTTTGTAACTATTCTTCCTGCTATGATGCATCTCTTTCTGTTTGTTGAATAATGCTTTTTCTCGCACTGTCACTTGCGTGTGTGTGTGCATACATCTGACCGAAATTTTGCTTTATTCCACTGTTTAAAAAATGTTTAATAGCAAGTGGATCGACTTCATTGCATCGTTACTGGTTTAGTATGGCTTGGTCTTTCTCCACATAACTGAACGGCTAGTGCATGCTAAGAGCTTAGCACGAAGCCTGAATACCGTAGCTCCAGCAACAGCCCTCAGAGGTCTCCGCTAACCAAAAAAATTCATTTTTTAGTTGAACAACGCAGTGAACGTACTGCAACCTTCTGAGCGCGAGGTTAATGGCTTGACCACTTTGCTACGGAGACCCCCATATTGTTTTATAACCAAGTGAAAATGAGAGCCTTTCTTACTGATTTAACATAATCCTTTTTTCAGTCTTCGCGAGTTATTCTTTCATTTTATTGATGATGAGGACATTTCACCATAGCGTTCCCCTCTTCTTCTTAACTAGTCACAGCTTGATATTTTATTTACTTGTTCAAAATAATCTAAGGTAACCGCCCTATTTGTGATTCAGTGCTATATTTTTCATGGAGTAAAATTATTAAATAAGCTCCTTTGTGATTCGCTTTGGATTTATGTTGTGTTTTCATGGAGCAGGATTTCATAAGGTAAGAGGAAAAATAACATTTTAATTTTTATAAGTATCTATGTCCTACGTGATCTGTTTGCTGGCTAGTATATATTAGTATATATATATAAAAAAATGATCAAATATTATTAATCATAAGTTGTAAGTAGCCCTAGCTGTAAGTAAGTAAACTTATACTTATGCAGTTAAACAAATTATAATATTTTTTTATTAATTTCATTAATTATCAACTTTCTAAATAAGCATATCTAAAATCTAAGGAAGTAAAAACTACAATTTTAATACTAATACATAGTATCAGTCATAAAAATGCACCACAAAATCATAGTGCAGAAATATATGGCAGACATTTTTTAAATGTCAATCTGGGAGCGGAGAGTGGGGGTCAGCAGGTAAAAATGCCTTAAACAGGTAAGGTCCTTCATGCCCAATGATAGGTTATGGCTTAAAAAATTATATAATGGCTAAAGATTTTAAAAATGATTTAAAAACTACTTTAATATGATTTAAAAGTATATAAAAAAATGTTCAAACCAATGACTGTGTCCATTTTCAATGCTTAAAATACCCTAGCCAAATGGTCTATGTCAAAAACGTGGTAAAATATTATTTTCAGCTATTTAAAACTATTAAAACTGATGTCAAATGAAAGTTAGAGACATTTAAATGATTAATAGAAACAAAACTTGCATTATTTTTAAACTGTTTTTATAAATAACTAGATATTAATCAATCAGTTCGTTTAGACCACGTGGCGGCCATTTTGAGAAATCTCCGATTTAGCTCTCAATACACGATTGGGAACAAATTCAAACTTTTAACTTCGTCCTGTACAGATTCCAACAAAACTTATCAACTTTATGTAAAAATGGACACAGAATCCAAAAATGTCACTTTAGAGTCTTTTATTTTACCGAAAACAAGAGATATTAAAGAAAATTTACTTCCCGCATGGCAAATAGGGAAATTTATTAGGTTGAACAAAGATCGCTACGTAAGTTAGGTGTCGTTTTGTAGAGCAACCTCTTCTGAATAACTTTGAGCCCACGTATTCGATTCAGAACAGCCAGTGTTGAGCGACGGGTTTTCAAAGTAACTGATACGCAAAGGAGCCATTTTCCGTGGACCACCGACTCCATCTTGTAACTAAGCGCTCTCTACTTTCGTTTTTAAGTGGGTCACTAAATGATCGTAAACGCTAATAATGCGAATCTGTTTGTCTACGGTCGCCTGCGATGGAGGACGGCAGATAACGATCCCGTTTGGAATGCACTTTCGGCTGAGATTTCTCTGTGGATTCTTCGAGCCAGCTTTCTAAACCTCTTCGGATCAATCAATCCACATATCTGGAGTGTATTTATGGTATTATTTACTTTATATGATTAGTTGTTTTCTTTTATTCGGTCTCTGAACTTGTTGAGTCGCTGGACCGTTGGAAACGACAAGAAGCTTCGGGTCAGGCATGACGTCATATCCGCTGTTGCTAGGAGCTATCGTAACCGCAACAAGCTTAGACTGTCGTAATGCTTTCGGAGCATATTTCCTTCGATCTTGGTTTTGTCTTCATCTCCTATACCTTATCTTTCCAACTAGTGAAAAGGGTATATTTAAAGGGATGGGGAATGATAGAGATCTGTCTGGCTTTCGCTACAGGACTGAATTCAGAAACTATTCAAGTTAATGGAAACGTACGTACGACTCTGGTGCTCACTCCGAGAAACTGTACAGGTTTCGAGATGTAGGAAGTCAACCTTCATGGTTTGGACTAGCCTCAATTATATCTGAGCATGTGGAGGTGGTAAGGATATTGATTAACTAGGTGCATTGGGTACGGTTCGCTCATGTGTGTTGCCTTGTGTTTTTCAGGATTTTTGAAGATCCAACAAGTGTCCGAGGCGTAATCGTACTCGTCCATCATCCAACAAGCGTCCGTGGCGTAATTGTACTGTTCCACCAGCCAATACCTGGGAAGCAATTGACGTGCGTTGTTCAACCATTACTGAATACGTGGACTGTGTACTATGTCTACATCTACCAACTTCTGGGGAGTTGATTGTCCTATAATCAATTCCAGACATACTAGCCATTGTGTGGAGATCTTCTGAGAAGTGAGACGTTGCAGTATTACCTTCTGGCACCCTGAGGAGCTGCAGGATCCAACCAGATAAGTCGAAGTAACACTCTATAGCGGCTTGATTCCAGATGTGCCTTTATAATCTGCCTCCTGCCTCCCAGCTATGATGACTCAGGAAAGAGATGTAGCTTTGTAGAAAGACTTTTTCTCTATGCTTTGTTCTTCGGAGAATGGAACAATCATTCTGGTTCTTCGTGTTACTTTTGATCTTTCTTGTTATGAAGCATTCAATACATTGAAGTTTTAGTTCACTAGACTTTCTGTTCTTCGAAAGGTTTACTGTTGATGAATTAATTGTTGTAGTCAGAAAGGTATTCACGTCTTGTGATATTCACTGTTGTTTACATATTTGACTGTGTTACTTTGTTTACCAGTCTGGGGGCAAATTAGTAATGAGGACGTCTGGCCGAGAGGTACCCAAGAGTTCATAATAACCCTGTGGAGTCAGAGCTCGAGTCACCTCATTCCTGAGACAGGTTGAATGGAAAGTTTGAACCGAGGGTTAGGCCTCTAGACGAACGAGAGCCACCATTCAAAACACCCCTGTCTCAGAGCACCTGAGGGATTTGTGAAAATATTCCGTAAGTTTAGGTGCGCGACAGAACTGCCATACGACACTAGCCATGTGGCTCTAAATCTTTAAACTCACAGCCCTTCAGCCTACGCCGTCCTAAAAAGGCAACAGCACTAGCCATGTGGCTCAAAATCTGTAGGCTCACAGCCCTTCAGTCTATGCCACCCTAAAAAGGCAACAGCACTAGCCATGTGGCTCAAAATCTTTAGAATCACAGCCCTTCAGTCTATGCTGCCCTAAAAAGGCAACAGCGCTAGCAATGTGGCTCTAAATCTTTAGGCTCACAGCCCTTCGGTCTATGCCGCCCTAAAAAGGCAACAACACTAAAAAGTGATACATACAGACATTAGTGACAGTCTGACAGAAATGTAAGTATCTAGTCACATGGATAACATCCCCGCAAGATGTATCACATGATAAAGAACAGAATAAGACAGGCCAAAACTGCATTTTATATATAAAATTTAAAAAAAATACACACAAAAACTAGCATAAATCCATGTCATTGGAGGTTACGAAAGTAATTCTTGCATGCTATATATAGTCAGTTTTAACATACGGCTGTGAATCCTGAACAATTAATAAACAGATCGAACTATATTTTGAGGCCTCGAAGATGTGATTTTACAGAAGAATCCTTCGAAATCCTTAGACAGCTAAAAAGAACAACCCAGATGTTCTGAAAGAGGCGAGGGCTCGAAGACAACTTATCACAAACTTCAGAAAGAGACAGTCATCATTTGCTGGTCATGTTATGAGAAGAGGGAAACTGGAACATGTTGTAACAACTGGAAGATGTGTGGAAAGATAGACAGAGGAAAACAGAGCGAGAAAAATTTTAACATCTTTTGTCATGGCATGAAGGAGTGTCAACACACGAACTGATACACAGAGGCGGATCGCAGATTGTGGAGAGTTATGATAACCCACGCCAGTCGGTAAAACTTCCACTTCACAATGTAAACCATGCAACGTTTTCACCATCTGAAGGCCTGTCTATTTGATAACTATCACAGCCTTCTTTAAGATCACCTCAGCAAGATCATTAATATCTTCGAAAAACAATTTACCTGAGTGACTGAAAGTTTTTACTCTGCTGGCTGCTACTTAACAGTTTGACATCCCAGCGACTCAAAGCATCAGGGCAATTCCCTGATACCCGGTTCAACCATATATCTATATTTTGTGTTGTGATATAAATGCGTTTATCAACAGGGGGACTTGGTGTGTGAGAGAAGATGGATGGTTCCTTTAACCACATCTATACAGATGGCTGGACTTCTAGTGGGCGGCTTGTTGTCAGGGCATATGTCGGATCTGTTTGGCCGAAAGAAAACCTTATACTTCTTCACGGCTACCACAGCCGTGTTTTGTTTTTTTGGCTGCCTTCTCCACGTCGTAGGAAATGTTTGCCAGTGCAATGTAAGTGTAGCTGTGTTAGTGTTCTGTTGACTTGAACTGATACATGAGAGTGATGCTTAGTAAAGAAAATAAAGGACTGTTGCTGCCGCAATTTTCTTCTTATTAGGTCACCATGGTCAACATCATCAGTATCATCATCATCATCATTATCAATGTTATCATCATCCCTTGATAAGCATAAGCCAGTCAGCAGAGGCTGTAATGGTTCGCAATAGCATTCGGCCGTCAGAATAAAAGATCAGAGCAGTGTTCTTGCCTATCGCATCTATATACACGTGTGTGTGTGTGTGTATATATGTGTTTGTGTGTGTCTCTGTGTGTGTGGAGGGGAGAGAGTCTTTCTGTAATGATACAACTTGCCAAAGCAACCACGTCACAACAATTAATTTTTACACTTTTAGATTTCTTATCGGAGCATCATTGGGTGGGAACTTTGCGTCTTGTGTTCCCTACACGACAGAGTTTGTCTTACCATCCAGTCGGGGAGTTGTTACAGTATTACCCAGCTTGAACGTTGGTGTCTGCTTGATGGCTTTGGCAGCCTGGAGATTGCAGGACTGGTGGATGCTGTATTTGATATGTGGTGTTATGATGACTCCACTTCTGCTGCCTTATTTGTAAGTTGATTGTGTTTTCAAATAGAAATGTTACTTTCCGAAAGAAGACCTTAAACTTTTTCACGACCAAAAGCACCCCTTTTTTTTTTGGGGGGGGGGGGGGGGGGGGGGTGTTCTTTCTCCACGTCGTGGGAAATCACAAGTAGGACAATCATACAATCTACATATTTTACAGTAATAATGAGAGGGGAGACATTGGAGAACATCGTGACAGCTGGAAAGATCTGTGGAAAACGGTGTAGAGGCTGTCCAAGAGAGACATTGCTAGTTGGGCATGGAGGGATATCATCAAGAGAGCTGTTTCAGGCAACCAGGGATTGTGATCTGTGGAGACGTATGAGCGCCAACGCCAGTTGGCGGGGCACGGGATGACGATGATGATGATTTTACAGTATGAAAAATTAAGCAGACAGCGAGGAAGTCAGAGAATGATATGAACACCTTGAGCTGAGTGAAAAAGAACAATGAAAATGTCTGGAAAGACACAACTCATACCGAGAATTGTTGATCACTTTAAAAGCAGTCAGTCCATGTCCACTTAACCGATCTTTAAGAGAAGAAGTGAGTGGTAACAACGAGAAAACGAGACAAGTGAGGAAAAAGAGGACAGAGAGATAAGCCAGTTTATGAGTTAAAACTTCTTCATTACACGGTTTATCTGTCCAAAATGTCCTCATCAGTTCTCTATAAAACCATATTTCTACAGCCTCCTCATAATAAGCTTTTATTATGATGACTTAAATTATGTACTCATTCTTTTTTTAAAAGATCGTTTTTGTTGACTATTTATGGTTTAACAGATATAAGATTATATAGTAAGGAACTGTTTCACGAGTGACAATTTACGAAATTTCTTTGGCGCTAGCAGTTTCACAAGGAAAGTCTTTTGCCCTAAGCGATAGGGAAGTTCAAAAGGGTTGCATATTCGCGTGAATTGGTGTTAGCGCAGATCTCTCCATCGTTTTTAGGACTATTTATCGATAATCTCAAAATGATTAATACGCACTCTTTGTGGATGATAGTGCAGTAGGGTACTAGCATAGTGTGGTAAGTAGTTTTTTTTTTTTTTTTTTTACTGTTTTCGGAGGATGAGTGTCAATACATTTACCCATGCTCGATAAGTCGAGTTGTCGCGTTCTGATTTTCTGTCAAGAGACAAATTAATTTTAAAATTGAATAGTTTGATTGATAACGCCTAATTACATCTAAACGCTGAAGGAAAAACATAAAATATTACAAAATACATAACCTTTTCTTATAAAGTTAGCTTTTATTTAAAATGTCTAAAATAATATAAGCACTGAATAAGAAACATAACTTCTACATACAATTTACTGGATATTATGGATGAAATAATTTCCTTCGCTAAGTAAATCTATGCTTTATTATCACAAATAATCAGAATTTTAATAAGACATGTCGCTGGAGCTACGGAGCACGTGATCTGCGCATGACTTCATCTTTAGTATCGGTACCATCTGTATTTAAACTCTGCACTGGCTGCTGAAGATGAGGACGGAGCATGCATGGGAATGCCCCGAGTGCTGTGATATCTATTCTTGACTCAACTCAACTGTAATAATAAAAGCCTGGGGCATTGATACGCCGTAATATATCTCTGGGCAGATGTAAAGTACCGGTGCAGAATGATCGAGGCCGGGGTTAGAGAAGACGAAGGCGAGCTCTAGGATACAGTCCGCACTGACATTGTACTTTGATACAAAGTAAGGAACACATTCTGTGAAAGTAAGTCTGCTGGATGCAAGCGCTTTCCATCTCTCAGACATCTCAGACATCTCAAACATCTCAGACATCTCAGACATCTCAGACATCTCAGACATCTCAGACATCTCAGACATTTCAGATATCTCAGACATCTCAGCTATTGCAAACAACTCAGACATCTCAGATATCTCAGACATCTCAGACATCTCAGATAATCTCAGACATCTCAGATATCTCAGACATCTCAGAAATCTCAGATATCTCAGACATCTCAGATAATCTCAGACATCTCAGATATCTCAGACGTCTCAGACATCTCAGATATCTCATAAATCTCAGACATCTCATAGATCTCAGACATCTCAGATATCTCAGACATCTCAGACATCTCAGACATCTCAGACATTTCAGATATCTCAGACATCTCAGCTATTGCAAACAACTCAGACATCTCAGATATCTCAGACATCTCAGACATCTCAGATAATCTCAGACATCTCATATATCTCAGACATCTCAGAAATCTCAGATATCTCAGACATCTCAGATAATCTCAGACATCTCAGATATCTCAGACGTCTCAGACATCTCAGATATCTCATAAATCTCAGACATCTCATAGATCTCAGACATCTCAGATATCTCAGACATCTCAGACATCTCAGACATCTCAGACATCTCAGATATCTCAGACATCTCAGACATCTTAGACATCTCAGGCATCTCAGACATCTCAGGCATCTCAGACATCTCAGACATCTCAGATAATCTAAACATCTCAGACATCTCAGATATCTCAGACGTCTCAGACATCTCAGATATCTCAGACAACTCAGATATCTCAGACATCTCAGATATCTCAGACATCTCAGGTATCTCAGACATCTCAGACATCACAGATACCTCAGACATCTCAGACATCTCAGATATCTCAGACATCTTAGATATCTCAGACGTCTCAGAATCTCATAAATCTCAGACATATTAGACATCTCAGACATCTCAGACATCTCATATATCTCAGACATCTCATATATCTCAGACATCTCAGACATCTAAGATATCTCAGACATCTCATATATCTCAGACATCTCAGACATCTAAGATATCTCAAACATCTCAGATATATCAGACATCTCAGACATCTAAGATATCTCAGACATCTCAGACATCTCAGACATCTCAGACATCTAAGATATCTCAGACATCTCAGATATCTCAGATATCTCAGATATCTCAGACATCTCAAATATCTCAGATATCTTAGATATCTCAGACATCTCAGATATCTTAGACGTCTCAGACATATCAGATATCTCAGACATCTCAGATATATCAGACATCGCAGATATCTCAGACATCTCAGACATCTCAGACATCTCAGACATCTTATATATCTCAGATATCTCAGACATCTCAGACATCTTAGACATCTCAGGCATCTCAGACATCTCAGTCCTCTCAGATAATCTCAACATCTCAGACATCTCAGCATCTCAGATATCTCAGACGTCTCAGACATCTCAGATATCTCAGACAACTCAGATATCTCAGACATCTCAGATATCTCAGACATCTCAGGTATCTCAGACATCTTAGATATCTCAGACGTCTCAGACATCTCATAAATCTCAGACATATTAGACATCTCAGACATCTCAGATATCTCATATATCTCATATATCTCAGACATCTCATATATCTTAGACATCTCAGACATCTAAGATATCTCAGACATCTCATATATCTCAGACATCTAAGATATCTCAAACATCTCAGATATATCAGACATCTCAGACATCTAAGATATCTCAGACATCTCATATATCTCAGACATCTCAGACATCTAAGATATCTCAGACATCTCAGATATCTCAGATATCTCAGATAGCTCAGACATCTCAGATATCTCAGATATCTTAGATATCTCAGACATCTCAGATATCTTAGACGTCTCAGACATATCAGATATCTCAGACATCTCAGATATATTAGACATCGCAGATATCTCAGACATCTCAGACATCTTATATATCTCAGATATCTAAGACATCTCAGACATCTTAGACATCTCAGGCATCTCAGACATCTCAGACATCTCAGATAATCTCAACATCTCAGACATCTCAGCATCTCAGATATCTCAACGTCTCAGACATCTCATATATCTCAGACATCTCAGGTATCTCAGACATCTCAGATATCTCAGACATCTTAGATATCTCAGACGTCTCAGACATCTCATAAATCTCAGACATATCAGACATCTCAGACATCTCAGATATCTCATATATATCAGACATCTCAGACATCTCATATATCTCAGACATCTCATATATCTCAGACATCTCAGACATCTAAGATATCTCAGACATCTCATATATCTCAGACATCTCAGACATTTAAGATATCTCAGACATCTCAGATATATCAGACATCTCAGACATCTAAGATATCTCAGACATCTCATATATCTCAGACATCTCAGACATCTAAGATATCTCAGACATCTCAGATATCTCAAACATCTCAGATATCTCAGACATCTCAGATATCTCAGATATCTCAGATATCTTAGATATCTCAGACATCTCATATATCTTAGATGTCTCAGACATATCAGATATCTCAGACATCTCAGATATATCAGACATCGCAGATATCTCAGACATCTCAGACATCTCAGACATCTCAGACATCTTATATATCTCAGACATCTCTGACATCTCACATCTCATATATCTCAGACATCTCAGACATCTCAGATATCTCAGACATCTCAGACATCTCAGACATCTCAGACATCTCAGACATCTAAGATATATCAGACATCTCAGACATCTCAGACATCTCAGACGTCTCAGACATCCACCATGTCATTGTATCAGACTTGAGGGTTGAAGTTCAATACTCCAGAGTATTTACAGCTGAGAAACTAGCCGACCCTTCCACACATACCATCCTGGTCAAAGTCCGTTACAGAACCTCGCTGTCGTCATGAAATGTGTGAAGGTCGCTCTTTCTTTAAACAATTCTCCAGCCCAATGTGCTTTCATAACCAATAGATCTTCAATGTCCAGTGTCCACGTTGGCGGAGGTATACCTCTGCTTCGTTTTTGCGGTAACGGTACATTGCATCAGCATTCTCCCAAGGCCACCATGACGATTGACTTCGTCAAAACATCATTTCATAACTATTAAATGTATTTACCTACAACACCATCCTATAGCTAGCTCACTATCTACCAACCGACACATAATCATCAATCGACTAACAAACCAAAAGTGATTCTTCAGCCACCATAACAAACCAGTCACCAAACCACAAACGTCTTATAACGAATAAACTAACCAACACACAATCATCAATGGACCAACAAAACCAAAAAATATGTCTATTTACCAGCCAACACAACAAACCAGTCACCTTATCACAAACTCACTGTAACTAATAAACTAAGCAACCACCGCCCACTCTTTAATCAAAATTGCTAATAATAATAAACCAAACAACCAACCACCAGCCCACCCAATAACCAACATTTTTAATTAGAAACCAAACAACCAACCACCAACCCACGCAATATTAAACACTCCTAATCACAAACCAAGCGACCAAACACCAGCAAACCCATTAAGCAACACTCCTAATCACAAACCAAGCGACCAAACACCAGCAAACCCATTAAGCAACACTCCTAATCACAAACCAAGCGACCAACCCCTAACCCATCCATAAATCAACATTTCTAATCACAAACCAAGCGACCAACCACCAGCCCACCTATTATTCATTACTCCCAATCACAACCCAAACAACCAACCACCAGCCCACCCATTAATCAACACTCCTAATCACAAACCAAGCGACCAACCACCAACCCACCCATTATTCAAAATTCCTAATCATAAACATAACACCCAACCACCAGCCCAACAATTAATCAACACTCCTAATCATAAACCAAACAGCCAACCACTAGCCCACCCATTAATCAACATTCCTAGTTACAAACTAAACAACCAACTACCAGCCCACCCAATAGTCAGCACTCCTAATCACAAACCAAACAACCAATCACCAGCCCACCCATTAATCAACATTCCTAATCATAAACCAAACAGCCAACCACCAGCCCACCCATTAATCAACATTCCTAATTACAAACTAAACAACCAACTACCAGCGCACCCAATAATCAACACTCCTAATCGCAAACCAAGCGACCAACCTCCAGCCCACCCATTAATCAGCACTCCTAATCACAAACCAAACAACCAGCCACCAGCCCACTCATTATTCAACACTCCTAATCACAAACCAAGCGACAAAATACCAGCCCACCCATTAATCAACACTCCTAGTCACAAACCAAGCAACCAACTACCAGCCCACCCATTAATCAACACTCCTAGTCACAAACCAAGCAACCAACTACCAACCCACCCATTAATCAACACTCCTAATCACAATCCAAACAACCAACCACCAGCTCACCCATTAATCAACACTCCTAACCGACAAACCACCAGCCCGCCTATTAATCAAAACTCCTAATCACAAACCAAACAACCAACCTATCAGCCTACCCACAACCTACCCATCAAGCAACCAGCGAAACGAGTCTCATACACACCAACCAAACCCTGTGTTAACAAATCAACACAAAAGCACACTTAACAATCATCAATAGGAAATAACTATCCAAACAACACATAAGCTCACCAACCCATCAACTAAATTACACACAACCACACTAACTCACACATACACACAACAAGCCAAACAACAAGTATAAGTCCACTCAAACAACCAAGGAACCTACTAACCCATCCAAACAATCAGGAAGCATACTAGCCCACCCAAACACCCAATCAAACTAGCCAAACCGAAACAATCAATCAATATACTAGCAGATACAACAATCATCATGAAAACAAACAACACATCAAATTACCAACAAGCAACCAATCGCACACACATAAACGCACATAATCACACATATACACACAATGGCAACGAGCCAAAAATTCATTAAACCCACTAGCCCACCTAAACAACCAATCAATCGACTAGCAACAACCACCACCCAACACCCACCCATCACACCTCTCACACACTGAAAAATTCACCAACTGAGGAAACATCTCGACTAAATATTAACAATTGTTATATCTTCAGCTTTCTACCCGAAAGTCTGCGATGGCTGACTGTCAAAGGTCGAGTAGATGAGGCACAACGGGTCGTGGAGTGGATAGCACGTTGGAACAAACAGGAAGTACCCAAGGACAGCTTAGACGTTATTAAAGTATGCATTATAATTACGTATACAAATACATCTAGTGAACAATATACGGAAACCTAACGCGAAAAAGTTACTTATATAACATGAAAGTGGGAGAGCTGCCGTGCTAAGCGGGTAGATGCTCGCCTGCAAATGAATAGGATTCATTTCTTAATTCTAGTATAATTTTTTTTTTTTTTTTTCAAAATCACATTGGTTCCCTGATTGACTCAACCTTAAATGGGTACTAGGTAGAAATCCTTGGAAGTAAAAAAGGTCACATCTCCCAACAAGTGCTGACTGGTCTATCATATAGACCTAATCTTAAATGCACAATACGCCTGAAGGCTTTACTTGACTTACTTGCATGAAAGAGGACTCTTTACATGTCAGTGTTGCTGAGAGTAAATTAAAATTGTCTGGGGTGAGCTTCATTCCTCCTCCTTTCCGTTTTCTCCACTTAGGATTAGTACCTAAAAGTTTGATCGCCGTTATATTCCAAAAATCTCGTTCCGGATAATATGCCAACATGGCAAATCGAAGATGCCTAAAGCTTTCTCCTAGCTATGGCCTTGGTACACTTATTTTCAGCTGTAGGTCGTGGGCCCAGCCGTAAGGTGAACAAAGTGTTTTTTTTTTTTTTTCAGTGACATTAATGTGGACTTGACTTTTACGTTTGAATACATTATTTTAAATGTACATTTCCGAAACAGACTGTTCTTAAGGATAAAGTATTATTAACTATGTCTGCGAAATGCTCTGTACCAAAGTGTTGCTCACATTATAATCCTTCAAGTGGATATGTGAGTGTGTTTAAATTTGCTTCAGATTCTCCTTTAAGAACAAGATGGCTGAAAAAAATTCCACTGACAATTTGGACTCCTGGGAAAACTAGTGTAGTATGTCTGAAACATTTTTTTACATCTGATATTATTGTATCAGATAAATACACACTCAAGTCTGGAGTAGAGCATATAATAATTTCTTTGTGTGATTCGCTTGGGATTTATCTGTTGTGTTTTCGTGTATCAGCATCTCGACTCAAGGTAGGAGGAAACGTAAGCTATAATTATAAAAAGTAACTGCTAATATCTTTCTTAAAGGAACTGCTATATTATTTCTTTAAGAAACTTCTAACATATATTTATTTCTTGCATACACTGCTAAATCATTTTAACTATAAATTGTATATAAATCTCTAATGTAAACTGCCAACAGATTGTAACATAAAATGTCAGTAAATCCCCAGCCTAAACCGACAACACATTTTAGTTTAATTTGCCAATAAATCTGTAAAAATTCATTGCCAACATATTTTAACATAAACTGCCAGTCCATCTTTCAACAGATTTTGAAGTAAACACTGCTCCCAAAGCTCCGCTATCTCTGTGTATATATGTGTAATCTACCTTTATACATGTTTTATTCTCGAGCATTTTTGGGGGCTGTACTCAGGGTACGGCAGGAAACACACCGAAAAACATGACTGTCAGAGTGAAAAACTTGACGTATCATTAGCCTGAGGTTGTGACGTCACGTCAAGCTAATGACTTCAGTCTCAAGGCCCTAGCTGGAGAAAGCCTTAAGATGCCTCAGTACAACTCAAAGGAACTTTAACAGAGGTCTCAAGGCAAATGTCCAAGCCGTTTGCCTCCCGTCCAGGAGGTTGTTGGTTCCGTTCGCAGATACTTTGTTCAGTTCAAGAATGCAAGTTTTACGGAGATTCCTGAGAATCGTCGTCTGAGTTACGCAGTTCGTGCTTTGTGCAAGGCTCTAGGCAGGCAGATAACTAGTTCTGCGGAGATGGACTGAGCCATATGGGATAAACCGATATTTAAAAAAACCCTTTTCCACGCCTTCAGGCGAATAGGGCATATAGGGCTAGACCTATATTTTTATAGACCAACCGACACAAGACGGGTGATGTGGTCAGCATCACGCCGGCCGCCTCTACTTCCCGGGACTGCACCCAGTACCCACTCAAGGCTGGGTCGACCTGGGAGCCAAGGTCATTTTTTGAAAAAAAAAGTCCGGCTCCGCCAGGAAGCGAACCCACGACCATCAGATCCGCAGTGAGCGTCTAGCTGCTCCGCCACGGCGACTCGATAAACCCTATGCCATGAAATAACTCCCTCCCCCCCCCCCCCCTCAAAAAAATTATTTAAAATTATTCATTTAGGTAAATAGGCTTGTTTATCATTGATGAAAGGCTATCATATTCAACTTCGCGTATCGAAAACAACACTAGCATAAAAAATGTCAACCATACTGTCAAAAAGTTTGCAGTAAGATACACACAAGAAATTTACTTTCAGTATTTTAACAATATAAGACTGTGAGATTAATAATAAATTTAAACGATTGGTTCATATGAGGATTGTTCACTATTTAGCTATAGTGTATAGAAACCGCTTACCAGCCCTAACCATCTATCCTACAACCAAGACTTGGCAGCCAATGAGACTTAGCACACCGTCGATTGGTCAGTTAGAGACCAACCTGACAGACTAGCATATTCTTTGTTGTTCTGAGGGTGTGGGAGAGAGAGAGACATAGAGAGACACAGAGAGAGAGAGAGAGAGAGAGAGAGAGAGAGAGAGAGAGAGAGAGAAGAGAGAGAGAATTGAAGCTCGAGAAGTGGGACAGCTATATCTCTGGTATGGTCCAAATTAATTGGATCATTACTTAGATCACTTATAGATGCCTGTACCACACTCCTGGAAAGTCACGTTTGACTAAATGAGTAACATTATAACTTGTTTGACGAAGCCCATTAACACTGGAACGTAATTCATCTTTACCAGTGCTTCTCAGCTTGGGGGGGGGGGGGGGAGCCCATGTCCCACCTAAGCCTTTCTAAAATTCGTATTCCCCCTATGTAACTGAAGCTCTGGAGAAGTTCATTTGCGGATTAACCCCCACCTCCCATGGCCCTCCTGCCCTACCATTGGTATTGCCTCCACACCCCTTAACAATTAAATTGCACCCCCCCCCCCCCTTGTGGGGCATGGGTCCCTTTTTAGGAATTACCTACACGAAGAACGCAGCGAATACTAAACCACTACTACCTTGTGGAAGTTCTTAGAAGAACAGAGGCATTGGCAGCAGCGCCCGACAAATAATATGGACAATCAAAGCTTATAAACCTAGCATAAAAATCCACGCATAGGAGAAAGAATCCAGAAAGGAAATCAGCACCTTTAAGGTTTGAAAATGTTGGCAAACGCATCAAAGGTTTACACAAAATCATATATGCATAAGAATTAGCGCAAACATTGGAATAAATACAAACATTAGAATGAATACAAACATTAGAATGAATACACACATTAGAATGAATACAAACATTAGAATGAATAAAAACATTAGATTGATTTGATTTGATTCAAGAACCGACATCACAGCACTCGGGGCATTCCCATAAGCGCTCCGCCCCCATCTTCAGCAGCCAGCGAAGAGTTCCGATACTAATGGTATCAGTAGCATTCTGATAAAACGTCCGTCTTGCCTTTCCTCTGAGCCTCGAGCATCTGCCATAACCTTTCGTCACACCCCGCTGCATCAATCTCACCAGACTGGGGTGACCCATCTGCTCCTCCGAGCTGTACACGCTCTCCCACAAGGCACTAACCACGTCTGCCCTATCATGTATCAGTATTCCACCAAGATGTGCAGAGCCAGCCAGTCTGTCCGCCTGTTCATTTCCCAACACACCGGCATTACCCGGTTAAAAAATCCAGACAATACTATATTCACCCGTGTCCTCCGCAGCGAAGTATTCCACTCTGCACGAAGCATACCTGTTCTGATCTTCCTAAGTATGCTTTCTAAATCAGTTACAATCACGATGTGTGTGTGTGTGTGTGTGTCGTGTTCTCTAGCCTGCAGTGACTGCCTCCACCTCCATTCTGAAGCTGGATGTTGTGGTATTATATGCAAGGCTCTCCTGCACCAAAAGTCGACTACAAACGTTAGAATGAATGACACACTTTTTTAATTTTTTAGTTCACATTGTCGTCAAAATGATACAAAATATTTATCAAGTGGAAAACTCCTAAATATAATTGCAGGCTGTAGCCGATGCTGTAGGCAACACAGACAAAACTATTAAACATACGTACATCCACATATACAAGGGCTGGCATTTGTGCAAGTCTTCAGTGATCTTACAATTTTTGTGGTAAGACTGCCTCTTTTCGTACCAAGATTGTGACAAATTTGTGTGTAAATTCACACTCACTTCCTTGCCTGTATTACAATGAAAGATGTGATATTTTGATATCTGCACTCATGGAGAAGGGGTTTTGTCTCTGGCTTGTGAACTGGACAGCAGCTGTCCTGCATTCGCGTATTGTTGCCCTTCGCCTGTGTACATAGACCTCAGAACCATGGAATATCGCCCTAGGACTGCCCCAAGGTTCTGCTATTTCACCAGTGCTTTTCAATGTGTATACAAATAAGATTTCAGAACTTGAAACACCAGGTGTTGAAAAGATATTTACATTTTCCGGTGATGTTCTTTCACATAGGCAGGGGAGTGATAGGCAACGGATAGCCCAAGAGTTACAGGCAACTGCTGTAGACAAAGTCATTGACTGGTGTGCAGAAATGCGTGCTGCCCTCCATTCAGAAAAGGCGGCTGTTTTGTAGTGCTCTCTGGGCAATAGAATTATAACAGCTTATGTTCCAAACCTCACAATTATTGACAATAACACCAAAAGAGAAAGCAAACTGAGGTACCTGGGTATCATTTTCGATCGAAGCCTGTCCTTCAGGGATCACGTAGAGGCAGTTGCGGTGAAATGCCAAAAAGGACTCAATGCTCTCAAGATTATGACAGCTATGGACATGGAACAAAGAATGTTGTTCACAATGTTAAGGCATGTGATCCTGTCGGTGATAGATTATGGACTTGGAATGCTTACCACATCAAAGAGTCAGCTGATTAAACTTGAACGCATACAGAATGAAGCCACGAGGGTAATTCTGGTATGTACAAGAGATACCCCGGCAGTATGTATAAGATATATACTTGCACTGCCTACAATTGCTGATAGGCTCAAGTTCTGCAAGCAAAGTCATATCTCAGAGCACCTGCAGACAAGAAGCACCTCCTGCATAAAGCCCTAGGTAGAGCTAAGGGTCGCAGACTGAACAGAGGAAGGTCTTGGATGGCGCAACCTGAAAACACAACCAGCCAATTTGTGCGAGGTGAAGAGTGGGTCAACGTTTCGAGCTAGTTTAAGACTTGTGCAGCGTTCTTATCACTTTGAGTTGTGAGTGCAGGGACTGGCCAGCTGGCGCTACAGATCAGAAGTTCAACAAATGATTCATGACAATTTCAGCAAAAATGATGTGATTATCTTAACAGATGGCTCTGCGTTTAGAGGCAGGCGAAATGCATAGGGGTTCATAGCAAAAGCGAATGGACGTCGCTTGGTGCAGAAAAGCCTGGCACATGATATCACATCGTCTAGTTTGAGAATGGAGGTGGAGGCAGTCACTGCTGCCTTCCGCTGTCTTGAGAATTAGATGAACACATATGCCGTGATTGTAACTGACTCGCAGAGCATGTTGAAAAAAGGTGGAGACAGGCATGCTCTGTGCAGGATGGCAAGCAACACTTCAGAGGTCCCGGGTAGTTAGCATCCTTTGGATATTTTCCAGTGTTATGCCGGTGTGTTGGGAAAGGAGCAGACAGATAGACTGGCGTTTTCTGCAACTCTTGGTAGTGAACTGATGTATGACAAGTTGGATGTTGTGTGGGCTCTTTGGGAGCGATTGAACAATGCGGAGGCACACATAAATTATTACTGTCTTGGAAGAATGGAGCTGCAAGGGGTTACAAGGGGATCTGGCCAGCGCTCAACACTCAGGGGAAAGGTGGGACATACATACAATCAGACTGTTACTGGTGCCATCAGAATTGGAACTCTTCGCTTGCTGCTGAAGATAGGGACGGAGCGCATATGGGAGTGTCTTTTGTTTTATTGAATCTGTTTAGTGTAGCAAATGGCAGTTCTGCAATAAATCCTTTTAACGTTGACACTGGACTAGACGGCGTTTGAATAAGCCTGCAATTTAGCCGTATGTAGATGGGCTAGTGTTTGTGTAACATGATTCAGCGGATTCCCATGTTAGGTAAGCGAAGTTGAGTCTGATATTGCCTGCTGTTTCGACCATCTAAATTGGCACCCAGCCAATCGAGGAAAGCTGGGCATGGTCTACTTGAGAACATGAGGAAGTATCGGTCTTCCGCTAAGCTCCATTAGCTTATACTCCCAAGTGAGTTGCATAGTGAGAGACTTAGCTGAGTTTGGAGTTAAAAAGGTCCTTTACGTTACTTTAGATTTTAAGTTACTACATTTTACTTTGCATTAAATATACACAATTTAAGGTAATAATCATATTACACAGACGTTACATTTCTATTTCCCCAGGTTTACTTTATCTCTGTGCGGATATGGTTTCTCATTTGGCGTCTCGTCGTTTGGAACCAATGTTAACTTGAATATTTTCCTACTGCAGGTCCTAGTATTTTGGGTTTGATGGCAGCTTCACTGATCACCCACAGGTAGGTGCTTCCGGAGAAGGCATGTCTTGTATTGAATTGTTAGCCAGTACTATAGACACAAGGCTAGATGATTGTCTGCTATCCCGAAGGTATTGATTCTGAATTTAAACCATGCAGATTAAAAACAAAATGATAATAATAATAATTGACCTTCGTTCATCGAAGCCTAAAATGGGTACCAGGAATCTTCAAGGGAACTACTTTTTCTGTTTGATCCGCCTGGCGCTTCAAGAGTCATTTGTTGACTTACTTACTCTATTAGGGGAGACCCCGTGGCGGAGCGGCTAGGTTGTGGGGGCATGCTCCTTGGCGTCTTTCGAAAATGACCTTGGCTCCCAGGTTGATCTAGCCTTAAGTGGGTACCGCGTATTGCAGTCACGGGAAGTAAAGGCGGCCGGCGTGGTGCTGACCACATTACCAATCGTGTGCCGATTGGTCTATAAAAATATAGGTCTAGCACTATATGCCCTATACGTCTAAAGGCCTGGAAGAGGGTCTTTTACTTTTTTTTTCCTTTACTCTATTAGAGATATATTGTTCTCATTTATTTTATGTGATTCACTATGAATAACACACAAAATATGTGATTCACTATAAATAACAAAAATATGTGATTCACTATGAAAGCGAAACATATGTTATTTACTGGGAATAATTAATAGTCACAGTTTTGTCTGGCCAATATAGTATCTGACACGTACCTGGCCACCATAAACAAATAATATTATTACTGCTCCGTAAACGGCTAATTTTTAATAAGCCTGTACTTACTCCCAATATAGCAGGTGAAAAAGCTGCAGATTGAATGTGACCTTTGTTTAACTATAATGGAAGCTATAGCAACAGTCTAAACATATTATATATCCCGAGACCTAGCATGTACCGTTTCAGAGCAAGCTTAGCGTATTCCACAGTTCATGTGTGAAAGACACCGCCAACAGCTAGTCAAAGATACAGTTTATCCGTGGAATCATAGTCCACAGCTTGTCAAAGATACAGCTCACCTGTGAAAACATAGTCCAAAACTAGTCAAAGATACAGCTCATCTGTAAAAAACAACCTCCACAGCTAGTCAAAGATACAGCTCATCTGTGAAAATAACATCCACAGCTAGTCAAAGATACAGCTCATCTGTGAAAATAACATCCACAGCTAGTCAAAGATACAGCTCATCTGTGAAAATAACATCCACAGCTAGTCAAAGATACAGCTCATCTGTGAAAATAACATCCACAGCTAGTCAAAGATACAGCTCACGTGTAAAAACAACCTCCACAGCTAGTCAAAGATACAGCTCATCTGTGAAAATAACATCCACAGCTAGTCAAAGATACAGCTCATCTGTGAAAATAACATCCACAGCTAGTCAAAGATACAGCTAGTCCCTATACATGCGGTCGGAAAGTGCTTGAATATTATCTCATTACAGACTACACGTCCCCTTAAAAGGCAATAACAGTATGTTGAGCGCATGGTATATTTTTCCTAGATTTATTACTGTTGCCAAGAATTATTACTTAGAACTAAAAATCGTTTAGAAATGTATGTAAATTGGAGCATATGCCAGCGTTTGTGATTTTTTTAGGTGTTTGCAGTGATGTTTAATATTACACATTCAAAGACATATGAACGAAATAATGTTTGACAAGAGCGAGGTCAGAAGGGAAGAATGTAAGCCACGTCTGTGTGACAATTCTTAACCATTTGAAAATAAATGTCATCGGTTCTTTTGTTCATTAGTTCCATTAAGGACCCAATATGGCTTGGCTGTAGCAGATACAGATGTGTATATTACGTTTTACTACAAACTAATATTTGCTTGAGCGAGATGTTGTCGGTCTACAGTTATGTAAAGTGTATAAAGTATAACAGTGGTTTAACTGATTTACGCATTTCTTCCTCAGACTTGGTTGTAAAAAGACAGCTATCGTGTTTATGATTCTAGCTAGTGCATGTGGCTTTGGGTCAATGGCAGTCAATTTAACTTGTGAGTTTTGGTTATATGTATTAAGAAACTCGACCTTCATCGTTAACTTTATACATAGCTTTCTTTGTTCATTTCAATGTGTTAACTCTTTCAAACAAGCTGCAGAGTGACTGTACAAGGATAGAGCATAGCTTATCGTTCTTTTATATTTATCGTCCAGGGCGAAACAGTGATAAAAAAATGTGCAACGCTGCAAATGTGTTCGATCTTTATTAAGGCGGACGGCAAAATTTTACCACGTCGTCGTCTGAGTGCTGACTAGTCTATCAAATGAATAGGTCTAATAATTATCATCAAGTGTCCTCCCACTGTCGTGTTCGTTCGTGCAACGAGTAGTTAGATTCACGGGTACGGAAACAAGAGTTGTTGAGTAGTTCAGATGTGATGGAAACAATAGTGGTTAAGTTCAGATGTGATAGAAACAAGAGTGGTTGAGTTCAGATGTGATGGAAACAAGAGTGGTTGAGTTCACAGGTGATGGAAACAAGAGTGGTTGAGTTCACGGGTGATGGAAAAAAGAGTAGAAAATTGATCACACAAGGGACACACAGGTCACTCTGGCCACCCCACTCCACCACCCCCACCCCAAACCCCATTTTTTCAAAAGTGAGCTTAACTCCTGGGTACTAAACTTTAAATAGGTATCAGATAATGTCCTGGGAAGTAAAGGAGTCCACCGAGTGCCGTTTGGTCTATAAAATATAGGTCTAGCCTTTAAGGCGTTGAAAAGGGTCCTTTACTTTTTTTTTCTATTGATTTTTAGCCTTGGCTGGTTAAGGAGCAGTAGGTCTGTTCTTGTTTCTGCTGAAAATGGTTACACATAACCTACACTGATATTCAACCCAACCTACACTAAGATTCCACCCAACCTACACTAAGATTCTACCCAACGTGCACTAAGATTCCACTCAACCTACACTGAGATTCCACCCAATCTACGAAGATTCTAATCAACCTACACTAAGATTCCACTCAACCTACACTGAGATTCCACACAATCTACACAAAGAGTTCACCTAACCTACATTAAGATTCAACTCGACCTACACTGAGATTCCACCCAACCTACACAATGAATCTACTCAACCTACACAAAGATTCCACTCTACCTATTAACAAATTCCACTTAGCCTACACAAAGATTCCAGCCAACCTAAACAAAGATTCCACTCAACCTATACAAAGATTCCACTCAACCTACACTGAGATTCCACTCAACCTACACAAAGATTGCACTTAACCTAGACTGAAATTCTCTCAACCTACACTGAGATTCCACCCAACTATACTAAGATCCAACCCACACGTTCATATTTGATATGTCTCTTTCATGCTTTGATTTCAAGCAGTGTCCAGCTGGAAATGGAAAGCCACAGCAGAGATTATGTTAAATCTCTTTAGTCGAGGAATGTTAACGGCTGCCTGGGGAACTATCGTCATCGTCACAAATGAAACGTACCCAACAGTTATCAGGCAAGAATGTTTCTCAACCTGACTGTCACAAGTTACAATATTTTTGTTAAAATAATATATAATTGAATATTTTAAAGTGGTTTGCATGTGGTTTTATTAGACGAATGATGAGAATATCACAGGACAGACAAAAACAGTAATGCAGATGTCTTTAAAAAACTGACTCACGAAGAGAACTGACAGCCACATCAAAAAGAGACAGTCTACTTTCTGTGGTCATGTAATGAGAAGGAGTACATCGTGGCATTAGGAAAGTTGCAAGGGAACAGAAGCAGAGGGAACGAACGAACGAACGAACGAACGAACTTTATTTTCAAAGGGTCACAAATAAGGCACGCAGGCCTGGCTTACATTCGGTCCTTCCAAGCTCCCATCTTTCACACAGCAGTTGTATTTTATCAATAAAGCATGTAATATTTATGTAATACTATGCATATTATGAGTATCAAGTCAAAAACAAAAGCATGGGTGGTAAAATGCACGGGCACGCTTGCGCGCGAACACACACACACCCACATACACACACAAACCCATTCACTCACAAAACACACACACACATAGCACCCAATACACACATACATACACATCCACATACATACAAACATGCACACACACATATGTACATGCGTACATACACACACACACACATACATACACACATACATACGCACAATACATACATACACACACACTTATACACACAGTCACCCACACAGACACACTCCCACAAACACACATTCTAAGACACACACGCATACAACCCAGACACATACAGACACACACAGCTAAACAGAGAGACCGATGGAGAGAAGATTCAGAACAGTTTGAAGTCATATCATGAAAGGTCTCTGTGTCAGAACTGATTGAAAGTACGCGAGACAGTTGGTTTTTGATAGACATGACTACCAAAGCCATATATCATATACTAAAGTGAGGAGAAGACAATTTTCACACCTAAAGAATGTAATGATAAAGGCAAATGTATATAAACCAACTGGAACTCTAAAGGTTAAAAAGTGAACCTCTTTTATTCCCCTGGCTTTTTTTTTTGGCACCCATTTTAGGCTGGGTCGACTTGAAAGCCGATGTCAGTTTTAAATAAACAGTCCGCCTCACTGTGAATTTCAGTCCACGAGATTCTAGCTTAAATATATACCATCAGGAGACACATTTACGACAGAATACAACATTGACCACAGAATACCAATCAGGAGACGCACTGGCGACAGAATACTATACAGAAGATACTTTGATGACAGAATACCATACAGGAGATGCTTTGATGACAGAATACCATACAGGAGATGCTTTGATGACAGAATACCATTCAGGAGATACCGTGAGGACAGAATACTACCCAGGAGATACCATGAGGACAGAATACTACCAAGAGGACACTTTATTAGTGAATACTAAACAGGAAATATTTTCATGCCTGACTGCTATCCATGAGATTCTTTACAATGGGATGTTGTCCATGAGATGATAGTGTCTCATCTAGTGTTAATTATATATATATCTGTGTCAATGAGATTTGAAGCCGGCAGGCAGGCAAGCAATCACTGGGCTACAACGGCTGAAACATGGACTTATGCTATATAATTTAGAAAAAAATACAATGGAAGGATAATATTAAGCAGAAGTCGCTGTGGTATAACGCCTAGTCGCTTGCCTGCAGATACGAAGGTGGTGGGTTCAAATCCGAATTATTCCTGACATTTTTCGTTCCAAACGTGACCCTAGCTCTCAGGTCAACCCAGCCTTAAATGAGGACTAGGTCAAGTCCTGCCAAGTAAAGGCGACCGACGTGATGCTGACCACATCCCCCACCCAGTGTGGACTGGTCTATAAAATAAGGTCTGGCACTTTATGCTCAATACGCATGGGGCCTTAAAATAGTTCATTGACTCTTTCCTAATTGTGGGTGACCAGTCGAGTTTTATCATTCATCAGTCGGTCTCTCTCTCTCTCTCTCTCTCTCTCTCTCTCTCTCTCTCTCTCTCTCTCTCTCTCTCTCTCTTCCATTCTCTCTTTGCAAACGGCTAACCACCTGTCGAGAGAATCACAAAAAGAACGAACTCTGTTATCTCAGTCGTGGATCCTCGTGGATTGTCGTAAAACTGCAGTAATGAACCGAAGGAGGACCTCTGTGGAAAAAATTTACAATCTTCAGAGCACACATGCACTGAGACACTTTCATCGCGATCTCTCCCCTTTCCCCCCCCCCCTTCCCTTGTTTTAAACACATACGCACACCAACATTTTGTGAACGAAATAGATATGTTAATTAAAATAATATGTCTTACTGTAAGTTGTTATGTTTGTCCCAAGGGGCCTAGGTTTTGGAGCTTCTAATGTCAGTGCAAGAGTGGGAGCCATAGTATCTCCCTTTCTACTGAATTTTGTAAGTTCATTCTTCGTGTAGATACTTCAATAATTATCTTTGCGAAAACACATAAGTGAATGTCTTATATAATATCAAACAAGTTACTGGACACTACTTATTATACAAGGGAAAAAAAACTTCAAAAAGCCACAAGACGAAATAATTTTCTGAAACGAAACTTAATGTGCGTAAATGTACAAGAAACATTCGCATCACTAATGTAATTTACATATGGTGGTGTAACATATCTTTATAGACAGGTCGATGGATGACCCTCAGCGAGGATAATAGGACTGCAAGGCCACATTAACATGATAAGGGTAGCATGCAATAAATGCAGCACGAAAATCAATGCAAACAAAACCGAAACAATGTCGGTCAGTCGAATCCCCTTAGTATATACTTGTATACAAATGAATGGTTCTGTCCTACAACTGGTTTGGGAATTAAAATATCTAGGAAGTGTGATTACAGAGAATAGCAGAATTGACAGAGAAATAGAAACCAGATTTCAGGGACCAAGGGCATTTTGTAATTGTCACCACTTTTAGGACACTTAATTATTGAGCTACAGTGCCAAATATAGACATGATCTAAAGCACCAGTATCTTCAGACCTTCTTCATTTATTCATGCTTCCACATTGTTCACTTGTCCTGAGATGACCCTTGCAATATTTACCTTTTCAGGCAACAGTTTAACAACACATGGTTAAAAAAAAAAAAAAACAAGCAAATCATTCTGTCTGTTCGTTTCTCAGCACACCATGCATGCTTGCAGAAACATTCCAAAGGACGCTGACTACCCGCGACTTCAGAAATGATACTTGTCACTCTGCACGAAGCATCGGTCTCCACATTTATCCACACACTATTCGTTAATAAATGCTTCAAGCTGTCGAACATTTTTTATTTCTACCCCTGTCAGGAAGAAGGCCCGACACTCGCCTTAGCCATCGTTGGAGGCTCGCTGCTTCTAGCAGCTTTAGCAGTCTGCTTCCTGCATGAGACATCAGGGAAAGCTTTGGCAGAATCCATTCTGGCTGCTGGAAAAACCACAGACAAACAGTTAGAGACTGCGACTCTCCAGAACAGCACGTTTTCGACTGAAAATGCAGCAGAAACTAATAATGTTCTTGGTGACAGTGGAGTCCATTTCAAAACCGATAGTACTAGAATGTAGAACTTTAGATGCCTTTAATGCAATATGTAGACTCTTATGTTCCTCTTTGTAGAAAACATACACGTTATATGCACTTTGACTGCAGAAACTATGCATTTTAAATAAAATTACATTTTATTAGGCACAATAGCATTTGTAAGGGAAAAAAAAATCATTTTCAACAAAGACAATTACTTTTATATCCAACAATTAGGTTGTTAGTACACAAACTATGAAACACAAATTTTTTTCTAAAGGAATGTTTAATTGCCTGTATCTTTGTTTTTGTTTTTTAATCTACTATAAACTAATTCATGTGTTTGATGTTAAATTACGAAGGGCATGAAATCGAAACCTAAAACTGTGATAGAAATTACAATAAGAATACCGTTGTTATGTAGCCTTCAGTATTGTTGTACTGATGTCAAGAGTGTTAAGTACGTGACATCCCGGTGCAGACCAGTGCGGCAAAGTCAGAATGATAGTTTGTAGGTGGCCGCTCCACTTTTGAGATGCGCCAAAGAGGAGCAGCGTTCTGTTGTCTGCCCAACAGCATGCTTCCTAAGTGATCCCACGAGCAGGATGGGTTCGAAGACAATGATGTTTGATGACTATCAGTCGGTACTGAATGTATTCAGCTTAAACAGAACAAAACAACATACACCCATCCAGCGTAAATTCAATAGAATACGAGATCCTCGTAGATGTGACGTTTTACAGAGAACTAAAAGATGCAGAACCAGACATTTGCCTGAAATAAGAAAACTGATCCAGACAATGCAGCCCCTGGTGTCTCATTAACCGTTTATTTGTTCAAGTGTGGAGTTTATTTCTGCTCTTACCAACGATATAAAAATCTATTGAATTGCAATCGGTTTGATTACTGAACTTTGGAACAACTTTTACGTCAAACAGAAGTGAAAGTATAATGTGTTCAAAAGTTGTAATTGAGAACAAATCGACTATTGTGGTAAATTTCATAGTTTAAAAACAATATAGTTTAATTAAATGAATATTACTCAGCTGTTAGGACATCTTTTTACTTTAAAATCGATTACTATCTACCACCCCCCACCCCTTTCCCTACCACCCACCCTTTTTTTCTCCTCCTGACTCCCTAAAATTACTTCTATACATTTCAGGACGTAGACCTAAAGGGCTCAGCCAAAGAACTTGATTCCAAAAATGGTTCTGCTAGTCAAAATAAATAGGAACCTCTGGTTTAATTAGTATAGTTTCATGAATGTTCCCGTTCGAATCACATTTGTGGAACTGTGTTGCTGTAGCATTCCCGAATAATAAGAAACTCCACAGGGGAGCATGTACAGAAGGAATCTACCAATCATCAGTAGAAGTAATCTCTCGTCGACAAATGTTTCGGCCAACGAGCTCCTAGACATTTTCAAAGAGTGGGCCCACCTGAGTTCATGAAGCTCAGTGTTGATTTTCTCCTTCTGCACGACTTACCGGATGTTTTCGGACAGGGACAAGACGAAACTAATGACTTTGCAAAAAGTACTGTGAGATACGAAGTGTATTTACATAGTCGTTCTTCTTTTCTTCTTTTGTCAAAATCTGCTTGTGCCGCTAGGCGTCGCAGTCTATCAGATGATCGGCAACCGAGCCAGGGCGCGCTCAGTCGCTTCATATGCCGTGATGTTATGAAGTCTCAAGTTGTCCGTGACTCCTTCAATCCATCTTCTTCTTGGTCTTCCCCTGCCTCTTGTTGTTTCGAACATAGTCGACATAGTCGTTGCGGTAGCATAATTAAAGCAGTCAGCTTATCTGGACGACCAAGTGGCAAGCTTACGGTTGGTTTATCGGACACATGTTAGATTTTGTTGGCAGATGGCAGAGGGACACTGGCAGACAATTCGAATAAAATTCACCAATAGTTGAGTTCTGAGTACTCTCACAGTTTCCTCTCATAATGGTGCAACTTAGAGTCTTTATGGATAAATGAAAGAATCATTAAACAAATTAGGGCTTTTATTACGACTTTTTTGTTAAACTCTCAACTTATTGTATATATTTATTTGTAGAAGCAAGTTTGCTAAAGGTGAATAAAGTTTACTGTTGCTTTGACCTTGTACCACACAACAGTTTCTTCTTCTTCTGCATTCCGAACACTTGAGGTTCATTGCTGCAGATATCACTTGCCTCTATTCCTCTCTCTGGTTGGCCATCTCGTTCCAGTTGGTGACACCAAGTGTTTGCACGTCTGTCTAGACATTATCTCTCAATCGTCTTCTTGGTCTGCCTCGTGGTCTACGACCATTGAGCTCCCTTGTGTATACAGTTTTTTTCTTTCATCTGACAATCTTTCGAAATGCCCCGACCATTTCAGTCTACTAGCTCTCATGATGCTAGTGATCAGTTGTGTTTTAAACACAATATGGATTTTGTTATAGCTTCTCCCTCTCCATTCCCCACTGTTTGCATCTTTGATGTTTCCAAAGATTCATCGTAAGACTCTTGTGTAATAAGGCTTTTCTACTTTAGTTGGACTCCAAGTCTCAGAGTCATATAAAACGACTGGTCTTATCAACGGCTTACATATTTTGATCTTGGTGTTGCGAGACAGACACTTTGACTTTAGCAGATGTTGAAGGGCATAGAATACTTTATTTCCAGATTGTATTCTAAATTGTATTTCTTCCCTCAGCATGTTGGATTAGTTGAAGTTTGGACCCAAGTTCTTGTATATTTCGGTTCGTTTGATTTTTATATTATCGACTTGTATGTGGCCGGATTTTATATCCTTTCCCTGTCTAGTTATTATCATGTATTCTGTCTTATCTTGATTGACAACGAGTCCCATTTTCTGAGCTGATTCTTTTAAGAGAGTCAGTGTTTTAACGGTCTCTAGTTTATTTTCTCCAACGATGTCAATGTCATCTGCATATCCAAGTATTCTTGAAGATTCTTCTAGAGTACATTCTTGTTTCAATTTCCTTATAATTTTCACCAGGGCCAAGTTGAAAAGATGTTGGGACAAAGCATCACCTTACTTTAAACCATAGGTTTTTTTAAAAAAAGATCTGACTTTCTGCTTTTATTTACTACCATATTGCTAGGCTTTTCCATATAAAGTTTTGTCATGGTAATTAACTTCTTTGGTATCCTAAAGTCTTTCATAGCATTCCATAAACTGTTTCTTTGTACACTATCATACGCTTTTAAATGCACAAAAACATTATGTCCATCTCTTCTATATTCCAATTGTGCTCTGCTATTTGCCGTAAAATAAATATATGATCTAGTGTTGATCTGTTCTGTCCGAAACCTCCTTGGGAATCTCCGAATTACCAAAGTACAACAGTTTACACATAATAAATACATTTTAAAACATATAAATATGTAAATCACGTATATGTTACTACATTAGTAAAGTGTTAAAAAAATATACAAACATCCCTCAACATTAACTAGGCCTGAATGAAACAAAGCTTCAAGCAGAATTGGTTTCCTGCTGCGTTTAAAACTATGCCTGCTGGTTAAGACGACAATATCTCTGTTTCCCTGCTAGTATGTACATGGGTTTTCAAAGTGAAAGTAAAGGACATTTCTACATGCACAGGAAGCACCAGGCACATGTCGCTAGACCATACTTTTGTAAAACAACTGGAGCGAGAAAGGAAGGGGAAAAAGGGGTGAGGGGGGGGTGTACTACTTTAATCGTCGCAAACTCCAAAGTACTACTGTAACATTTGATATTCTATCCACGGCTTCATGTTTTCAGTTTTAAAGTGAAATATTCCTAACTTAGGTTAAACAAATGTGATCTGCAACAGCCAGTCACATCTATGATTCAATGTCCCATTCAATGTTCTTTTCTGTTCCAGTCAACATAATAGTCCTTGAACCTGTTAACGAGTGTAAATTTTACTGAGATCCTTGGGGATCGTGACCAGAGCTAGTGATTTCGTGATTTGCGAGACGTTCTTGGCAGGCCACTAGCTGCTTTACGACAGAGACTACGCGATGTGGGGTAACAGACGAAGCAATGAAGTCGATCTTTTTGACTTTAATTTTATCAACAGTACACGATCTTTTTTTCTTTAAAACTGTTATTAAATATTCACCGCCATAGTGTATACAGAGATTTCAAGTTAATTTTAAAAAAAGGCTAATTAGATGCAGATTGAAACTTTAATTTATTAATCTATTCTGTATTTTCCTTAAAGGACTGCTTGCCCTATAATTATCATTTCTGATATCAAACGTTTAAGAAAATACCGTCGGTACCGTGTTCCACAAAATGGCTGTATCGGAGTACACCATGGCAACAACAAACATTTGTTTAGTATAGCTGGCTGTCCTTGGCCGGTATAGGGCGCCATTATCTCTCTCCTTTTTCCTCTCTGTCTGTCTGTCTCACACACACACACACACACACACACACACACACACACACGAACACACACACACACGAACCCAAATTAGGTGTACCGACTGGCTGGCTTTTTTGTCCACTCCGGGATGCTACGTGATGGTTTAACAGCCTTACTATTGAAATAGTCTTGTCACAGATACCAAACCAACAGGGCATATTTTAGAAAGCTCCATGTAGTCTCCTAAGAAATTTAAGTTAGGTTATTTGTAACGAATACAAGAAGTAGAAGCCTGATGAAAGTATTGTCTAAAGATGGTCAGGATACTGGTCACACACAGATAAATTCTACCAATAGTTTAGTGTTCTAACAAACATACGTTTAACATAAACCTTTTCTGGACTCGCTGCAAAATAACTGACGAAAAGTAGCCCGATACTTGCTGCTCATGTGGTAATATGTAAAGATATTCATTGAGGAATTTGTAGACTCCAGGGTGAAGGCAACACCCGACACAAGCAGAAACATATTTTTGTATCTGCCATCTACAGCAAGTTCCACCTCCAAAGTCATGGCCACGAAGATAATACACACAGGAATAAAACAGACGATGAAAAGCGTGGAGATTATAACAACCATCTTGGCAACTTTCTGATCACGAGTGGATAAGCTCTCTGACTGGTTAGC